ATTTTGATTTATTTTTAAAAATGATTGACTCTTGCCATAAATCATAATAAATGTAATCTTTTTCCTTTTATCCTCGGAACCAAAAAATATATATTTTATAAATTTAGTAGATAACTCATATCATTAATAAAAATGTATCAACACAAGTCATACACAATCAAATATACGAAGATGAAAATAATTATATGTTTGAAACTTAATATACGAGATTTATTGTATTAATAGATTGTATTAATAGATAACTTCAATTCAAGTAATTAATTGGTGCTCGTTATAATTTAAAATATAAATTATGGTTAGTTCAAGTTTTTAATATATTATAACTTCATTAATACCTTAATAAAATAAGTTATTGATTTTATTAAATCAAACATTATATTATAATTCAAGTGTGACAGAAACATATGTTATACAGTGGTAAATTTAATTTAGTGCTCTTAGGGAAAGACAAAATAGAAAACGCATTGCGTGTAATGTTTGGCTGTTGAGGGAAATGAGAAATATCAGGGTGGTCGGCGGTGGTTTGGTTAACGTCAACCGCCGCGAATTAGGACTGGCTCGTGACAGCGTCCCGGATAAACGTATGCCGTAATCACGTGATCCGTAATTTTCCGCCGTACACGTGGCGAAATTAAAGACACCTGAGCCCCACATTAACCGCTCTCTCACGTGCCCCTATCTCTTTCATTTTTTTTCAATCTTGGTGCGGACACCCACTCCAACCCATAAAGAACAAAAATTTAATACCCTTTAATTTTCACATAGTTCAGTAACCTCCCCCCACACACATACACACATACATACATACATACATACACACATACATACATACATACATACATACATACATACATACATGCATACAGATGATGTCCATGGAAGCTACCAAATATACCCAGATATTTTAGGGCGTTAATTAACAGTACCCACCAAAATGCATTTATTATTACTTCAAAATCCACCACTAATTAATGGATTGCCTTGTAAGTACGTTGTTTGATCTGGGGGTATATGTATGTGTCGGTGGAATCTAATCACGCACCGCCTTTTTCACGTGGCGAGCTCAACCAGTGACTACGCTTGTAGCGTAGTGGTCACAAAACGCAAGTGCAAAATTTTGTTTTGTTCAAATCTAAGTGTATGAAAACACCATCCACTTTATATAATATAATATAATATTTTTAGTGTATAGTTTTATACTTTTTTAAGTTTAAATTTTATATTTCACATTATCTGCAAAAATATCTAGAGAACATGTACTGCTTGCTCTCTCTAACAAACTGCACTTGGTAGAACTTCTAAGTTATCAGAACATCTGGATAGAGTTGAGTTGAAGCCGATACGTTAAAGATATGTTGGATGCTGACAACGATCGAAAAAGATAACTCCGAATTTAGCTTTATGGTTAGATTGTAGATCTTTATTATCTACCCAGTTTGATATTTCGATTTGTTATGTTATATGTTATTATAATAAATTAGTCTATAGTATCGCTCGAGTTTCTTGTGAGTTTTCGGAGTTTCGCGTTTGGGAGACTCTCCCATTGGATATTGCTTCACTGCTCACTTGATATTTTATGAATGATTTTTTTTTAAAAAAAAAATTATAATGTTTTAAGTTTATTTTAAATTTAACTAATTTGATATATTTAATTTAGTATGATTTAAACTAAAGTGTATCAAATTGTTTAATTTTTAATTCACAATTAATAAAATAAAATAAAATTTAAATATTTTTTTAATTTTTTATATTTGGGTATATTCTAAACTAAACTTTTAGTTTTTTGATGTCCGAATCGAAAAACATACCATATATTGTACGATAAGATTTGATTCAATTCAGCGCATATCAAAATTTGAACAATTCTATTAAACACGTGCTAATTTGCAAGCGTTTTGAATACCTTAAAAGAAGAAAAACCTTGCGATTATTTATATTATATTATTTACGAATATAATACTTTGCGGTAGAGAGTAAGATACGAAAAAAATATTCATGTGAAAAAATCGTTTAATGATTAATAATTTAAATTATTTTAACAAATTTGATCAGATACTGAACTCTCGTACACGATCTTACGACTCTGTAGAGACTTATATTTTTTATAAACAGTGACTCGGGTTTAATCACTGTGACTCCTTTTATGATGAGGCACCCTTCTTCGGAAGTTGCGGAATTATTAAAAAAAAAAAAACTATGTTCTACTTTTGCTTTTTAATTTTTAATTTTTGAAATTTTAAGGAATTGAAAAACACATGTGAGTAGATTTTTTTTAAGGAAAGATTTTTATGAAGCTAATGAAGTCCCGCCACTGCAAATTATGTGCGGGTCAGCCCTCTCACGACCCACCATGTCCGCACGGCGGGCAAGCTCGTATACGCATGTATGCTTCTGAAACTGAGATGTGGTTGAGAGGTTCATGTGTGTGTGTGTATATATATATATATATATATGAGGTCATGAAACTCAGATGCATGTGCACTCATTCATTTCACATATATATATATATACATATAATATACACCCCACTAGATATTTAACTATTGTTATTATATATAATGTAATATGGTTGTTTAGATTTTCTCATGCCTACCAAATTTCTTTTGCTCGAACACAATCTAACCCAAAATTGTGGTTCCCTCCGTGACGGTGCCCTTTTGTTCCCCCAAGTCCAAACTCTGCATGTGCCCCCGTATTTTAAGAGCCCGAATTATGTGATTGAATAAATCCTCGTTTATTTGAACTCGAGTTCGAGAACTTCTTCTCCGTCCTCTTTTTTAAACTCCGATTCGTATTTTTTAATAAAACTAAATCTATTTTACATCATATATATAAAAAAAATAATACGATATTAATTCGTGATTATTTAAGTTAACGACACGTGAGATGGTACTTAAATCACCGCAGCATACCAGGCTACGAAAGTAATCCTAAACATTAATTAGGTGGTTTAATTTTTAAATAATTACCGTTAAACGGTGTCGGTTACTTAACTAGAGGTGGTTAAACTGTGGCTGCCCAAAACGACGACGTAATAACCTCATAGAAAATAATGCAATACCGGCAATAATAGTTTAATTATTACTAATTAATTAATTAATTAATCTTTCTCTTAAATTACTCAACCGACTCTCTCTAACATCTGTCATTATCCTAATCCGGATATAATTATTTTTAAACCGAAACACAATCAAACGTTACTTAACTGCTGCTGCTCCCCTCACAAACCTCTATATACACACATATATATATATATATATTGTTATTTATGTTTTCACCATTTCTAAATGCTGCATGCATTGTGCCTTAAGTATTCTTTTGGTATTTTTTCACCAAAAATAAACACCAGATAATAAATTTAGTTTTTTATTAATATTTCGAATAATTATCCCGAATTCAACAATATATTTTTTTATTATTGATGTGACTTAAATTTTAATTATATTAATATTTTTATAATTATTATAAATATTAATTCTACTAACTTCTCTTTATATAAATTTATTAATATACGAATGATATATTCTCTTTTAATTATAATTCAATATTTTTTATTGGTATTGTCCGTTGATGTAAACAAACAACGAATTACGTAAAATTTTATATTGTTATCTTTTATGTATTTTGCTTTGTTTGTGATTATGCATGATTTGGGAATTGGTTTTCCAATGGTTATAATGCACAAAATTAATTATTAATAAATTTTCATTCATAAATCGGACCACATTTTATCAAAAGATGTATTTCATTACAAGCTCTTTCAAAAGCAACATTTTACCAAATCCGTGAGATTTAAAAAATTTAACCTTAACAAAATTAGAATTATCAATATATAAAAATTTAAGTTGAGAAAAACTTAGTAAAATTGAATGACATAAAATTTATTGAGTAGTGGGTAAGTGGGTATCCATGAATGTGATTACTTATAATAAATACATTCCCTTTCTCATACTCCACCATTCACAACCAGACAAGCTTCAATTTTGTGCATTTGAAAAAATTTACACTTCTTTCAAAAATTTTTTATTTAAAATTTTTATTTTATTGGTCAATTATCATACTGTACTATACTCTTATTTATTCTCGTGTTTTTCTATTAGATCCACACTTTCAGAACAAGTGACGAAAATGGTAAAAAAGAGTAAGATCTAATTGAAATTTTATTTTTATTATATGTTAAAGTATTATGTTAACAAATTGTTATTTTGATGTCTTCTTTCATAAGGGATTCTTCCTAGTCACGTACTCCTTTCTCTTCCATTAATTTGCTCAAATGGTAAAGTTCGATTTCTATATTTGAATATAATATTTTTTTTAATACTAATACATATCAATTATCATACTATACTATATCTTATTCTCTTTTTCTTTGTTAGACTATAAAAAATAGTAAAATTTATCATGATTTCACTTAGTTAAAATTTTATTTTTAACATGTGTTGAAGCATTACGTTAGGGAACCATCGTTTCGATGTCTTATTTTACGAAGGATTCTTCCTCGTCATGCACCCCCTTTCTTTTTTATTAATTTGTTCAATTGGTAAAGTTCGATTTTTATATTTAAATGCAACAATTATTTATTTATTTTTTATTCTTTTAATATTAACGTATATGAAGCTAATCTTTGATTTTTATTATGACATATAATTTTTATCATTTGAATACGTTTTAAATGTGTATAATAATAAATAATTAAATTTAAATTTATTCACATTCTTCTATCAATATATATATATATATATTTTATCATTCGCCTCTTAGTATATGTGGCTAAGGGATAAAAAATAAAATAATAATGTTAGAATTATTTTCATAATTTTTTTTTATGTAAATTAAAGTGTGAAATTAATATTGTATTTATAGCATTATTTCAAATATTTTGCTTGTTAAAAAAACAAAAGAAAATACGAATTTCAAATATTATGGAAATTTAAAAAAAAAAAGAAAAAGAAAACGAAGCTGACGTTTCCCGCGTTCTAATTCGCTTTTGGTTTCCTAATTCTGTCGATGTGTTTTTTCTTGGAAGGAACAAGGAAAGCCCAAAACCTAACGAATCCCCCCTCCCTCTCTCATGAGTGATTTGAACAAGATGCAGTGATGCGAGTGTGATACGCTGAAATTGAAGAGACAGGAAGAGATTAAATGACGAAGACGAAGGTATTCCGGGGAGCAAACGTCTTCATGTCGCGGAACCTGGTGGCGCCGGATATATTCGATGCTCTTCTCGATGCACTCAAGCTCAACGGAGCCGAAATCTTTCTCTGTTGCGACCCTTCGCGCAATGGCCCCAATGACTTCCACATAATCTCCTCTATCGATCACGTACTAATTTCCAGCCGTTTCACATTACCTTTTATTTTGCCGTTTAACCACTTCAGTTTTCGTTTCGTTCTGATATGGATTTTGATTCCTCATGTTTTTTTAGGAGAAATTTGATGATCTCAGGGCCAAGGGCTGTAATTTGCTAGGTATTGTCTTGAAGGATGTCTTCTTTGTTTACATTTCATGAGTGCTAATTTGATCATTTTATCTTTGAATTGTGTGTGTATCCTGCTAGCATTTTCAGTGAAGTGTATTTACTTAGAAGTTACAAACTTCACCATGTGGGACGGTTAAGAACCTACTGGAAGAGAGATAGATAATAGTAGCTTCTCATCCACGCAGCCTTATAGAAGAACAGGCCGTGTAATATGTTCAACTTTTTTGTTTTGGGAAAATCTATAACTAAAAAGTTCCAGCACGTAAAGAGCTATAACTAGTTTTTTGTTGCAAATTCATATCGGGGAATTTTGTTCTTTTAATTGTGCTTTTCTAAGATTCCAGTAAAATTTATTCTCACTAGTAAGTTGCATGTTAAGTACAGTAATGCTTGAATTTGCTAATTTTGTACCTCCAAACTTTTTTTTTTCTTGAGGAAATTAATATTATGGAGCTATAACTGCTGCTTCAGCAATGGAGCTATATGATTTTTTCTCTTCTGAACCACCTTTGCTGGATTGTAGAGAAATTTCTTCTCGCTAGGAACTTCCTTGTTAGATAAAATTGACGGAAGGTATTATTGGGCAGGTCCTCAGTCTGTGCTTTCCTGTGCAAAAGAAAATAAAGCTTTGCCTAAACAAGGGTTCATTTGTTGCCTTGCAATGGATGGCTTAAAAGTACTTGCATCTGGGTTTGAGATGGATGAAAAGGTATTACATCTCATATCAACTGTGTACATGTAACAACTATCATCTTTCTGAAAATCTATACTACTAAATCTTAGCCCCTCGGTTCTGTTTTCTATCTTCCCTTGTCTTACCAACAAGATAGAAAAGAAACTACTTCTGAATTTCTAGTTCTTATACCTGTCTACAGGTTAAGATCGGAAAGTTGGTTACGGCCATGGGAGGAGTGCTGCACACTAAAGCATCTTCAGATGTTAGCTTTGTCATTGTTAAGAATGTTTTAGCTGCCAAGTACAAGGTGTTGCTCAAGATTATGGTTTATTTTAGTTTTAGTTTCAAGATATTAGTCTTCTTAGTTCCCTGTTTACTCAATTCTTCTTTGTTATATGTGTCCATGCATCATAATTATGCATGTCATGAATCGTTGGGTAACACAAGAGCATTTCCTTTTGTATTGTTGAGTAGGATAGTCATGTGTTATGTCTACAGTAGTTGATTTGCAATTCAGATTGTCCTAACCTCGAATAGGAACATAAACTTTGTTGATATGATGACAAAGAAAAATTACTTATTTACATGTATATCATATATGTAGATACAAGCATCATGTATGTATCTCTCTTGATACTAGGAGAGGAGAAGGCTTAGATGGAGTATATTGCGCGTATACCTACAAATATGGCAAGCATTTAGCACTTCCAGTCTGTAATACATACAGAAAATGTAATATTGTTGTTGAGATAGCTGGATTCGGCAGCAGAGCATGATCTATCAAAACCTACAGATGTAATCCAACTCGTTTGCTGGTCAAACATAGAAATGGAATAATAAGAAGTTATATATGATTGATGAAAATGCCTGAGAAAATAGATAGTTAAAATGGGAATGTGGTTTTTCGAGGGTTAGTAGATGTTTTATTAGACATCTTCCAGGAGGAACTGGTCTTGTTTCTAAATATGGATTGGACAAGGCTTGACTTGAGTTTCTTTCCAGCTCTAAGCGAATGGTGTTTCTTTTTCACTTGGAACTTGGTTGTTGATCTGTGATAGGTTAACTGCAGCATTCAGTTGCAAATTTTGAGGCAAAAGATAAAGAGTGGCACTGTGTTTTGTATTTGATTCTGCTGTTGACCAGAATTACTGTCATGAAAATTTTCTTTTGTCACTTGAAAAAGATTGTTGATATATGTCACCTTTAACTAGTGGCCTTTGTACTTGGTTCCGATATATTTTCTTGAGCTTTCCTGAATAAATTATGCTTTTAAAGGAACATAGCAGGTTATGTTGCTTGGAGGAGATATTACTAGCTAATAGTGTTGATAATTTTCTCGGTGCAGTGGGCTTTGAACATTCTGAAGAAGCCAATTGTTACCATTAATTGGTTATATCAATGCTGGAATGAGCACCGCATTGTTCCTCAGGAAGCACACAGGGTTCTTCCTTTCTCTGGATTGACCATTTGCGTTACCCGGATTCCAGCAGGTTACAGTAGCAGCTTTGTATATTGTTTATTCGTATGGTGAAATATTGGCGTATTTATCCTTTTGTGCTTGTTTCTGTTAGATGAAAGGAAGGAGATTCAAAAGCTCATTGTACAGAATGGTGGGAAGTATTCTGCTGAGTTGACCAAGAACTGTACACATTTGATTTCTGATATATCCTTTACGTTTACCTTAGGCAAAAGATGTTTACATTCAGTTACATTCTTATCTTCATTTTTAAGCTCACATTATGACTGTGCACAAGAGATCTACTTTTAGCATTTTTTTTCCTAGAATAATTTTGCTTTCCTTTTTGGAATTTGTTTTCTAGCTCACTCCTAAGTATGGAAAAACCCCCTAAATGCTTGAGTCTAGGATTGTGAATGCTGTGATTTGTGGTCTTAACATTTCTTACAGTGCAGAAGGTGACAAATACAAAGTTGCTCGAAAATGGGGCCATATTCATATTGTTACAAGGAAATGGTTCGATCAATCCATTGCTAGAAGAGGTAATGGTCTGTGCTATTAGGATTCTTTGTATTCTAGCACTTTTGACTTGACACCAAGTTAAACTTCTCTGTTGATTACTCTCCTGCATGTCTTTCTTAAATTGTCTAACATTGAAATTTTCTTTTTGTGATGAGTAGCATGTCTTAATGAGGAGTCATATCCTGTCCAGGGTGGTCTTGTAAGTTCAAATAAGGGCATGAAAACTTGCTTGACAGGCCAGCATGTCCAAGACAAGGTTATTGGCAATTCAGTACCTAAGCCTTCTGCAATTGCTGCAGAATCATCTGTTCCTTGTTCTGGATTTGGGGACTTGGATGTCGAAGCTACTCTTTCACAAAATATGTCTTCAATGTTTTCGGATTCTTCTGCCTTTGTCAAAGAAGGGGATGGAGAAGTCACAGCCTGCACTGGTGAAACAAATGTTGATGCTGACGTGGCCAATGATTCGCAGTCTGAAGACAATGATTTGTACCTGTCAGAGTGCAGAATATTACTTATAGGATTTGAAGCTTCTGAAATGCGTAAATTAGTTAATCTGGTGCGTAAAGGTGGGGGATCCCGATATATGTCTTTCAATGACAAACTAACACATATAATAGTTGGAGCTCCATCAGACATGTAAGTTTCTTGTAGCTCCATCAGAATGCCATAATTAGTCTTCTTGTTTTCTTTTTCCACCATTTTGTTCTTTGGTTTGCCAGGGGACGGCAGTTCAGTGTTTTAAGCTGCTTAATATAAAAAAATTTTATTCTATTCATTTCTTGTTTTAGTTCTACTCTCAAATCTAAAGTGGGTTTTGTGGTCCGGAGGACTGTCTTCTCTAATTGAATTTTGACATTTTTCCAATTGATTTTTTTCTCAGCGAGAAAAAGGAGGCAAGGAGTCTTGCAGCTTCGGGTGTCATTCAGGTGGTTAGAACCAATTGGCTTGAAGATTGTGACCACGAAAGGAAAGAAGTTCCCATATGTCGGAGGCACATTGCCTATGACTTGCTTCTTCCTAAAGGTTTGCAATTTTCTGAAATTATTTTGTTTCATAGCTAATTTATGTTTCGTTGAATTAGATTGGCAGTTTTGATTAATTAGCTCTTGAGTATGTGATGTTTTCGTGTTTGCTAATGGCTTGTTTTGCATAGATTCTCTACACTCATCTAGAGGAGCAGTTAATTGCATGGTTAGTGTGAATCAAGGTAAAAGTTCTGTTGTTCTCCAGCCCATGCCACTACCGCCTGATCCAGTCATGACCAGTGGTATTCCTGCAACTAAATTGTCATCATCATTTGAGAAAAATACAGAAGAAAAAGCAGAACTCAAGATGAATGGTTGCTGCTCTGTAGAAGTAATGGTGGAACCATCCAACCAAAGGAAGAAACTAATGTCTCTTGTAAATGATAAAATCAAGGATCGAAACAAATTGCAGCATGATTCATCTGTTCAGAGTCTTCAATGTAGGAATTCAACAGTATTCAAGGGGAGAACATTTTGCTTCTCAGATTGTTTTCCTGAAGATAGGGTAAGTTATTTAGTTTCGAAAATTGAAAGTGATTTGATCTTTCATGGTAAAAATCATGCCCTAACACCTTCATGAGTTAGGTACTGAAAGGCTTTTTGAATTTAAATATCAATTTTACATTGTCTGATGGAAAATGACCCCTAGCAGACTTGGAAACAGTGGAAACCTTCAACATATCTTGTGGAAAGGATATATGAGAGTTGCCAGTGAGAAAAGAAAGAATCGTGCAAAACGAATGGATAGAATATGTTCACCTTGAAACTATAAATGTTCCTGAAGCAAGAGGACTGAATCATGTCAAAAAGGGCATCGTAAGGGGTTGGCCTGCATGTGACTGTTTGAATCATGCAAAACAAATGGGTAGAATATGTTCACCTTGAAACTATAAATGTTCCTGAAGCAAGAGGACTATGAATCATGTCAAAAAGGGCATCGTAAGGGGTCGGCCTGCATTTGACTGTTTGACAGTCGCATTTAAATGGACTTTTATGTTCCCCAACTAATAAGAAAATGCTAATGCTGTGAATACCATGCAGCCAATTTAATTGTAGTTACATTTATTTTTGTCCTATACTTCCCTTTATTGGCATCCATTGTTGGATTGAAGTAGACCTGATGCAATTTCATGGGCTATCTCCTGTTGCAATCTAATGTATCATAGTTTGCAACTGTAACATTGATATCTTAATGCCATATTTGTCTCATAGGATGTTAATATAGGTTATGGTGGCTTGATATGGATGTTATAGGAAACACATCCACGAGCCATGACTATTTAAAGCTCTTATTATCTGGTGTTTTGTCTCTGGGTCTTTTAACTGATTATCTCGCCATTGTAATGTGCTGATTTATTTATTGTTTTTTCCCCTTCTGAGTATCTATTTTTGCTTTTGATATTTAATAATCTCTATTTTCCAGTTGTAGGGAGATCTTTACTGGATTTTTCTATCAGCTGTTAATGTTGTATTTGTTTGTCTAGAGAGCTGAAGTCTTGCAATGGATTAATCAAGGAGGAGGAGAGGTGGTAAACAAAACTATAAATCCAAATGTGCATTTCACTATTGAGTGCCATGGTGGTGCGATGCCCAGCTCTGCCTCAACAACTTATGTTTCCAGCCACTGGGTTCGTTCTTGTCTAGAGGTGAACTTGAAAGCTCTCTCTGTATTGATGGTTGATTTTGTTACTTAACAACGAATATTTCTTGTCTAATAAGCCACTAAATGTGCTCTCTGTTATCACATTGATTACCTTCAAAAGCAAATTGTTAACAAGAGCTGAACAATCATTTGTTTATTAGATGTTTGCTATGTAATGTTCCAATTCTTTGTCTTTCGTGGCAGGATGGACAGTTGCTGGATGTTGGTAGTCATATCCTCTATTCTCCACTTTCCTGTCAGATTCCTTTGCCTAGATTTGAGAGCTTCCGATTTTGCGTTTCACAATATGAAGAGAAGGATAGAATTCTATTAAGAAACTTGTGCTTTGTTCTTGGAGCTAGATTTGTGGAAAGACTGACCAGAAAAGTTACCCATTTGTTGTGTAAATATACCAGTGGGCCAAAGTATGAGGCTGCTTGTAAATGGGGGATATGTTCAGTGACTTCAGAGTGGATTTATGAATGTGTCAAGCAGGTAGTTTTGCAGATCTCTTCTCCCAATCTTATGTTTTTTTGGCTTGATTTTGTTTATTTCTGGATATCTAAGTATAGAGTTGGATATCTTGTTAGAACCAAGTTGTTTCTATGGATCCGTTTTATCCTAAAGAAGTGACCACTCAAGACCGAGAAGCAGGACTTTACACTGCAAGCCAGTTTCCTTCCCAGGCTCTTAAGATAATATCTGAGGAAAATTCATCTCAGTTTATCGGTCCAGCTGAATCCCTGAGGGTTACATTGTCCAAGACACTAGGTAGTAACAATGGTAGCCTCATGGGTAGTCTTGGAGAGGACACCAGACAATCAAATGCTCACTGTAAGAAAAGCAAGGCTTCTGGATGATGATCGCCATAGGGAAATTATTTTCTCTGAAGTAAGTGCAAGTGATGGCGTCTGCAATGTGAGTTATGGCAGTGATAGCATTCAGAAGGATGCTGCTGAAGTTGCTATTGTTGTGCCAGATGTAGCAGCAGCTATTGAGGACCTGCTGGAGCAGACAAGTAAGGTAATGACTTGGGCCTTTCTCTTCCGTACATTGCTTCATCAAGTTCAGATTTACAGAGACTAATTTTTGTGTCAACTTCTCTCTTAAGATTCACGATCAGAAATCACTCGGGAGGAGTGGGTGTGATAAAAGTGTATCCATATGGTTTGATTATTTTATTTATTTATTTATTTCATTTGTTAAATCATAGATTTTGGAAGTAGTTTCCTCCTTGATGGTGAAATAGCTCTTTTCATCTGATTGTAATGGTGTTGCTCAAGACAATAGGGAGTCTTGCTCTGTCATTGGGTTGTCCAGACACTGGTTAAACAGGTACTCTCACTTTGGCATCAGATTCCTTGTCAACATGCATCTATTTAAAGTTTTGCGTGCATTGCTTTTCCTGCTTTTCTGCTGATTTTACATTGTTTATTAGAATAGTGAACGATATTAGTCTCATTTGCTTCTTTAATTATGATAATGGTCCTAACAAAGTTGTGCTCTTGAAGTATGCTTTGACATAGATATGGTTTCTTTAAATGAAATTCTGCTGATTATGGTCTTAATGCTGATCTTGCTTCAAGGAAATATTCTCACAATTGTTATCCATTTAACTTATAAAGCAATCAACGACTTATTTGGAATGTGTATTCTTATTGAGAATCAGCCTGCATATCCAGAATGACAATGTTTTGTCCCTTCCTGTAGTCGAACAACAAGATTGTGTCCCTTCCTGGGTTTTTAGTAGTAGAAAAGCATGTTCTTTTCTCACTCTGCAAATCTATAATGAAAAAAATTGAATCCAACTGGGTTTATACGAGAAGGAATGTGTGTTTATTTCTTCTTCAGTTTAAATCATGTATTGACTGTATGCTTTTATTAGGACGGTGAAGAATGATGATCACATCTCTAGTGCTTCCAAAGATGTAAATGTGGGTATATATGGCGGTTTCAGTGAAACACAAACAGATTCTCAGGTACAGCTCTCAGCCTACTAAAAAATATATATATATTTTTATTGTTAATGAAGCATAATTGGTTTCAGGTTGTTTAGGCTTGGAACAAATTTTTAGAAATGTTGGTTTATTTGCAAATCTAAACCGAGGCTATGTTTATCAAATCCATAAATTTTGTAGAATTAATGTCAAGTTCACATTTAATTCAGTTAAAAATGGTGAATACTTTCCTTAAAATAATAAAAAATTGACCTTATATTGAATTTCAAGTGGAATTGGAATAATGTATTCCAAATTTCATCAATTATTTCATCTTCTAATACAATTTGTCCCTGCTCATTGTTAAACTTAAGTATGAATTTTTGGATTTTTCCCAAACATAGCTTTTGTTCAACTCGGAGAGGAAGTAAGTTTTATAAGATGGAAATTGATCTCCCATAGAATTCTATTTGAACTTGAGCCGTGCATTTTAAATTCCATATATTTGAGTATTTTCACCATCTTCTATTTAAACCTGGAACAAATCTTAAAACTTTTAGAATTTATTTGTAAGTTTACACTTATTTATTAAGTTAGGGAAAAACCTAGAATGCATTTTCCAGTTCTACATGGAATTTCATATAAGATCTTTTTTTGTCAATAAATAAAATTTACATTTCTCTTAATTGAATAACATTGTGTTTAGTTCCCTTTAGTAACTTATGTAATGTGAAAAAATTTGTAGTGGAAATTGATTAATTTTGTTTGTTTTCAATATATAACCATGGATTCAAATAAGGTAATGATAATCATTACTGAAACTATAATAATGATTACAGCCTCTCAACTTTGTATCAATTGCATTACATTGCATTACGAAATTAATTACATTGCATTACGTTATAATATTAATAAATTCAACCAAATGTGTTGTAAGTGTACATTAGTAGATGAGTTATACAAAATTTTTGAATGTGTTTTAAATAAAGCATTGTGAATTTGCAAATGAATTCTATAAAAATTCTAAGATGTGTTCTAAACATAGCCTTCTCTTAGAAGGCCCCATTTCCATATATTATTGACTTCATAAGGGAAGTAAAAAATGATGCTTGAGATAATTTAGTCCACATCTGGAGAAAAATTCTTAGGTACTATGGGAGCAAAAATGAGTTAACAGATCTTATAGATGTGATTTAGATATAATTTCCTCATATTAAAGTCAATCAATCACATTTATGAGATTTTTCAACTTACCATTGCTCTGGAGCATTGAATAGTTACTTCAGTTCTGGGACATCTAGCTTCCAATCTAAAGTTCATTTTATTGCATACCATAAGGGATATTTTCATTATTGCAAATGCAGGTCGTTGGTTATGAAGAGGATTTATCAGGCAGGCAAATGCTTATAGACAGAGTTCGAACACGGAGTAGCATGACATAAACGTTAGGGAAGTTCAATTAGGACAATCTTATACAGTAATTCGCCAAATTGCCTGAAGGGGAGTGCGTTTGTCCAACTAGAATAATTTAAACAGATCATCTGAGATGGGAATTTGGTGATGAACTTGGGGTTGCATTCAGTTGAGATTTATTCTTATAACCAATCTCAGCATTCAACTGATCATTGACAAGGTAAGATCATAGAACAGTATTAACTCTTCTTCCTATTCGTCTTTTGATTATGTGAATCATGATTGATCTCCATATGCTGTAAGCAATGTCTTTCAGAAACAAACTACAAAAGGCTTAACCTTAGGCATATGTTAAAAGAAATATTCTTATTGATTCTTTTTTCTTTCTATCTTCATCTATTTCGGTTACTAATAGTATTTCTCTAACCCTGTCGGTGAGCATTATTATCTTGATGAAAACTGAAAAATAAAGGAAGGGATTTATGTAATGTCCTGTCCTTGGAGTCTTATAAGCACTGTATCTGCTTTTAGCTTTGCAAAAATCAATAGTTACATATGCTCGAAGCTAAGCACAAGGCCCACAAAGGGGAAGCCACCACTGCACCAACAGGTTTGGTGGTTTGTAAACGTCCATAATTGGTACTTGGTAGTAAGGATGCACTCTGGTTATAAGCCAAACCAACACCACCCAGGCTCATCTTCTGGAGAAGCCAAATTTGGGATGTTTTTCGGGTTTAATTTTGGTTCAGTTTGGTCTATATTTGATTTGATTGGCTCTGAAGGTTTTTAATTGTAATTCAACATGCTTTTCGTCCTTGAATTTACTCTATACGTTATAAAGTTATATTTCGTCTGTTATGTCCTCGTTAACTCAAGTTTAACCTGTGCAGTTTTGAACGTAAACAGGTTCCTTGGATCGCTTGTTACTGTAAACATAATTGTTAGAAGAGAAATTGTTGTGCGGTTTGGAAGTATGCGGTTGAGGTACCTTCTTAGCAGGTAGGCAAGCTATTTCCTATGGCTAATCTTTTATTGTAAGAAGAAGTTAATAGTTATGAAGTTGGTGAATTGAGTGAAATTACCCTGTTTAATACTTATTACACAGCCATTCTTTTTTGTATTTAAAAGACTGCTTAAAAAACTTTAGAACAGTATAAAATGGTAAATTAAAAAAGAATATGTTTACATCTATATATATAATTTATCAAGTGATACAAATTAGTAAATAGCCTTCTCATCTCTTTCTTTAGTTTATTTTGGATTTTCCTAACATCCTTTTCATAATGGAGTGAATTATATATATATATATATATATATAATTATAATTTAATTTAGGATATTTTTTTATTTTTCTATTTTGATTTAAATGTTTTTAAAAATAGTTTGATGAGAATTTTGATTAATTAATTTTTTGATTTATTAATGTAATTAATTAATTGAAATTATTTTTAAAATAATTACATATAAATTAATTATTTTAATTTTTTATTAACAATACAAAAATTTAATACTTCAAATAAAAAATATCTAATACTAAATAAAATTACAATAAAAGATTAAATCTTAAGAATTAATTTAATTATTTTTCTATTAATAATTGAGGGAAAGGTATTTTTCTTCCGTTGACGGAATTTTTTTTCCGTTAGCCTAAAGACAACGCATTGCATACACATGTGCCGGCATTATGGTTTTCTGTTGAAAATAACGTACATATCCATTCTGTTATGATTACCGAAATAAAAAATGAAGGAGCAAAATAAGGCCTTTTTTTTTTAAAAAAAAAATTACAATTTTTGTTTTTTAAATTCATTGTGTTTAAATTGTTAATTAAATTATATAATTTTATGAATGAAGTATATATATAAATTTTGAAAATAAACATATTTTTACGTATTAAAGTCTAATTTTCATGCATCTATTCGATTTTAAGTTGGAATAATGATGTATTTAATTTATTACTCAAATAATTGCACGCTATTATTATTTTATGTTGGGTGAGTTTAGAGTATTACCAATTGCAATCATATTTACAGAATAACCAACTCAGTAGAAAGTTTAATTGGCTTGGCTCCATGAAATGAACACGCGTAACCAAATGCGCGTGGCTTACAGTACTTGCAGCACCAAAAAACATCACCCTCGCAGTTAACAGTGATGGCAATCAAATCGAGAAAGAGATGAAATTCCGCGACGCATGAAAACCAAAAACAGAAAAAAGAAGAACAGCCCATCACCACAAGTACCAAAAGCATATCACGCAAACGCCAATTTTGCCCAATTCCATATTATCCACCACAACATTTTCTCCTCACCCCAAACATGAGCTAGAAACTGTAACTGAAAACTCAAAACAAAAATTACATAAAAGAAACGAAACCAAGAAACTTCTCCATATGGTGACATGTCTCTTCTTCTCTCCCGTCGACATGAAACTGTCATCTCCAGCCGCCGGATTATCACCCAGTCTTTGTTGCTCCTGTACGCTCAGTAGGGAGCCCAAGTTGGTTGGATTCGGGTTCGGGTTTTGTCACCGGTTGCGAAGAAAAGACGCGGTTTCAAGGAAGCGACTTAAGTTTTTTGTGAGCGCGGAGCTGTCCAAATCCTTTTCTACGAATTTGGGTTTGGATTCTCAGGTCATTTGTTTTGAATACTCAGCTCTTTACCGCGCTCTGCGTCTTGTTTCTAGTATTTTGTGCATTTGTAGTTGTGTTTTTAGCATTTGTGATATGACTGCTGGAGGGCAAAATGTATTGTTTGAAGACGAGTAGACGAAGGTGGAAAAGAAATGGGATGATGAATTTTAATATAGAAATTATAATTTATTTTATTTATTAGTTTGAATTCAAATAGAGTTTATCCTCTAATTAGATTTTATTTATGTTTAGTTTTTAATTATTGAGAGTTTAAGATTTGATTTATGTTTATCTTTTAGATAATAATAGATTATTTTTAGGAAATATGATTAAAGTGTAAGTCTTTTAAACACATTTTAAGTTCTTAATTTTGAAATTAACAGAGTCAATGAAAATTTAAGTTTTCTTCACCCAACATCTTCTTCTGTCCGGTCCCCATGAAACTGTCATCTCCAGCCAGATTATCACTCAGTCTTTGTTGCTCCTATACGCTCAGTAAGGAGACCAAGTTAGTTGGATTCAGGTTCGGGTTTTGTCACCGGTTGCAAAGAAAGGATGTAGTTTCAAGGAAGGGACTTAAGTTTTTTATGAACGCAGAACTGTCCAAGTCCTTTTCTACGAACTTGGGTTTGGATTCTCAGGTCATTTTATATATTCAGCTATTTAACTCGCTCCGGCGTCTTGTTTCTAATATTTTGTGCATTTGTAACTGTCTTTTTAGCATTTGTGATCTGACTGCTCGAGAGCAAAATGTGTTGTTTGAAGACGAGTAGTCCATGTGGGAAGAAGGTGGAAAAGAAATGGGTTGATGAATTTTTTTCGGTGATAGTCCACTCTGGCTTTCCTTTCTTTAGCATTTTCTTATATCTAATGCGAGTCGGAGTTATACCTCTCTAGTCATAAGGTTCATTAGCACAAAACTTGGGCAGGGCTTTGATAGTTGAGCTATGTAGTACTGAGTCAGGGTTAGGGATGGCAATTGTGTCTGTACTGGTGCGGCACTTGCTTATTCAATCATATTGGGATTTGTTTAGACCTAATTCTTTCCTTCTTTTTGTTCTTAAATTGATAAGGTTATGAGTTTTCTATTCGGGTTTGAGTATGGGTTCTGGACAAGTGGACGTGAAACTTTTAGTTATAGCATACGTGCATTTTTATTCTTTTTCGTTTCTTAGTTGCTATTGTTAGGTTTATTTTTGAGATGAAATTTCAATTATACATTTATTTCTAGTTGTTGATTTTCTCATTTGATTGATTTATTTTATCTTATGTTGAAGTGGGTTTAGATCTTGGGATGGGATAGCATAAATTTTCAATGGGGTATTAAGGCAGGTAGGATATTGCAATTCAGAAGTTTTTTGAGATGGAGAACTAGGTGGCCTATCTGTTTCTATTCCTGTAACTTAAATGAAATAACTTCTTGGTTAACTTAAACGATGAGATTGATTTAAATTTCAATTTCATGAAATGTAAATGAGAATGCAACACAAATGAGGTAGAAATTTTAAAAAATTAGCATTCTAATCTAAGTTAATGTTATTCTAATTCAAGTTAGATATTTTTGTAATTATTTCTTAACAGTTGGAAGTGCAAATATATAGTTGTTGAAATTGAAGATTGCACCAAATGCATAATTTGGATTGAATAGCATTTAACCAAACACAAGGTAGCTTGAATTTGATTGTAATAGTTGCTACCGCCCCTCTCATACAATCTTAGTTGAACTTAAGCTAGCATTGTTGGACAGAAGAGCCGCATCCTAATTTGAATGCTTGGTGAATTCATAGGCACAAACAAGCTATCGTTGATGCAACTGTTGTTTCAGTGCTTGTAGGGTTTCTCATTTTACAGAAAAGAGATTCTGTTTGCTTTGTTTCTTTCAAAGTTTTAGCACGTAAAAGTTGATCTGCAATCTTTTGTTGTGGTTGTTGCACCTGTATAAGTTGGAAGCTTAAGTGTGCCGAAGAAAGTGATAAAGAAATGGATGAAAGACATTATATCTTGATATAGGAACTTTTAAAATTCTGCAATAAGATCAGCAGCATATGTTTTGATGAATCAACTACATTCCTTTCACAACTCTACGCATATCACTAAAATGGTTAGTTAATGTCTCTTTGTTGATCAATAAGTAAATTTTGTGATTCTTATTCTTGATTACTGCTTTACAATGCTTGGCGTTTTATCTTGGTATCTTTGTTGTTTATGTTCTTTCTCTTTCTTCTAATTGTTTCTATTGATTCTGCTCTCTTGATAAATAATCAGCTCCTTTTAATTGCATATTCAAAAGAGTTATGGATTAAGAAATTGTCTCACTAGCTACTTTTCTTAATCATGGAATGGCACTGCTTTTTCTGGATCTGAAGGCTGTTCAGTCTCATGATGTATCAAGATTACCTTGGATTGGTCCACTTCCTGGGGACATTGCTGAAGTTGAGGCATATTGTAGAATTTTTAGACAGGCTGAACGACTTCATGCTGCGCTGATGGAAACACTGTGCAATCCGATAACTGGTGAATGTAGAGTTTCATATGATTTTCCATCTGAGGAAAAGCCATTGTTGGAGGATAAAATAGTATCTGTTCTTGGTTGCATATTATCTCTTTTAAACAAAGGAAGAGAGGAAATTCTTTCTGGAAGGTCAAATATTATGAATTCTTTCCGCACTGCAGATGTTAGTGTGATGGAGGATGTACTGCCACCTCTTGCCGTTTTCAGGAGTGAAATGAAAAGATGTTCTGAGAGCTTGCATGTTGCACTTGAAAACTATTTGACACCTGATGATGACCGAAGTCTATATGTATGGAGGAAATTGCAAAGGCTGAAAAATGTTTGTTATGATTCTGGTTTTCCTCGCAGAGAAAGCTATCCGTGCCATACACTGTTTGCAAACTGGGATTCTGTTTGTTTGTCCACTCCTAAGGACAATATGGCTTCCAAAGATTGTGAGGTAGCATTCTGCAAGGGGGGTCAGGTAACAGAAGAAGGCCTTAGATGGTTAATTGACAAAGGATTTAAAACCATAGTAGATATTAGAAGTGAAGCTGTGAAGGATAACTTTTATGAAGCAGCTATAGATGATGCTATTTTGTCTGGGAAAATTGAATTGGTAAAGATTCCAGTTGAAGTTAGGACTGCACCTTCAGTGGAGCAGGTTGGGAAGTTTGCCTCTTTGGTTTCAGATTGCAGCAAAAGGCCCATTTATCTTCACAGTAAGGAAGGAGTGTGGAGAGCTTCTGCCATGGTATCTAGGTGGAGGCAGTACATGACGCGCAGTGGTTCACTGTTTGTCTCCAATCATCCAGTCTCTTCAAATGATATATTTTCAGAGAAGATGCATGGAACCAGAGGTGAGGCAGTTCATATCTCAAAAGAAAGACTCCCCTTAGAAGAGGTGAAGCTGCAGCAGACTTTAGACGAGACTCGTAGTTCAAGTGGAGCGTTTCGCAAAGATAGCTCTGTAGAAAATGACAACAAAGATCTTGGTATTAGTGAGATTGACAATGGCTCTGCTTCTACAGAAGGTGTGAAATCAGTTGATGAAACAAGTAATGAATTAGGATCTGTATCAAAGTTCTATACAGAAATTGACCCTCTGAAGGCTCAAAGTCCTCCTTGCAATGTATTTTCTAAAAAAGAAATGTCCAGCTTTTTTAAGAGTAAAAGGATCTGTCCTCCCATTTATAGTAATCACCAATATAAGAGGCTGGAAACACTACCAGCTCCAAGAGACCCATCTATTGGGGCAAAGGGGAGAAGTGAGATGATTGGTATATACAGCATGGGGGCTTATGGAGATAACAAATTCCAACTGGTCACCTGACGGTAAAGAAGCATCAAAGAATCTCAGAATACAACTCCTGGCATTGGTGTGTCTTGAATGGCAATACTATGGTTTTGATGGTCAAAATGTAAACAAATTACATGAAGGGCAAAGAAATTTCGCTGCTGAAACTGGGGTTCCCTCTTTCAGTAATAACTCTGATCGAGAACTCATGTCTAAATCTATTAGAAAAGGCAACAATGGAAATTGTACATCCTCGGATTCCAGTGATGAGGATTTAGGGCCTGTTGAAGCCAATATGTGTGCTTCTGCAACTGGTGTCGTAAGGGTTCAGTCGAGAAAGAAAGCGGAGATGTTCTTAGTGCGAACAGATGGAATTTCTTGTACCAGGGAAAAGGTAACAGAATCATCTTTAGCCTTCACTCATCCCAGTACACAGCAGCAGATGCTTATGTGGAAATCCACACCAAAGACTGTCCTATTGCTGAAGAAGCTGGGCCCAGAACTTATGGAAGAAGCTAAAGAGGTATGGTGCAGATTTTTTATATGTTCATTCAAAACGATTTTGTTTGCCATTGTTTTAAATGATTACACTATGAATTCTAATGATGAAGAAACTAAAATGCCATTTATAACTTGAAACCTCAATTGTGATGTTAATGTTTCTAATTTTTCTGTTGATGTTGGCTGTTGAATCTGTGTGTTTCAGAAGAGCAACTATGGATCTGCATTGACAAGTTCTGTCATTTTTGTATTTGTGTTTGTAGCTGCAGGTTTGAGTTGAGGGAGAAAGGGGTTCATTGTTATTAAGCATTTCGTGTGAATCATTTGGTTTCTTTATGTGATTTTGATATTTCAAAAGGATCGATGGAAAATGTGACTTTAGATAATAAAGAACAAGAAGTTGCCAACATATAGTTGGGCTTTATGCTTTCCTGAGTTGTTATAAATATCTGCCTCTGTAAGCACATACAGACACTCTTTTTCTCTCCAATTTTCAGGTTGTTTCTTTCTTGTATCACCAAGAAAAAATGAATGTCCTTGTTGAACCTGATGTTCATGACATATTTGCTAGAATTCCAGGGTTTGGATTTGTTCAGACCTTTTATAGTCAAGATACCAGGTACTGAAAGTATGACTTGATATCCACCAGCATTGATGTGTATTTCATGTTCCTAGCAACACCTCAGTGTTTCATTCATTAATGCAGTGATCTCCATATGAGGGTTGATTTTGTAGCATGCCTGGGAGGAGATGGGGTTATATTGCATGCATCAAATTTATTTCGAGGTGCTGTTCCTCCTGTCGTATCATTTAATCTCGGATCTCTTGGATTTCTCACCTCTCATAGAGTAAGCGTCCAAATTATTGTACTATGTTTACTAAGTTTTGTCATAAATGGGTATTGATTTTGTTTTTATTTGGTTTATATAGTTTGAAGACTACAGGCAGGACTTGACACAGGTGATTCATGGGAATAACACACTTGATGGTGTTTATATAACTCTTAGAATGCGCCTCCGGTGTGAAATTTTTCGAAATGGTAAAGCAGTACCTGGAAAAGTTTTTGATGTTCTGAATGAGATTGTTGTTGATCGGGGTTATAATCCATACCTTTCTAAGGTTGAATGCTACGAACATGATCGACTTATTACCAAGGTGTGCTCAGTGAACTTTTTTATGACATAAGACGTATGAAGATAAAACTTCAGAGCAGTCATAGTTATTCTTTGAGCTTTGGATTAGTTACGAGTTCAATTTTACAGTAGCAATTGCCATTGTGCTGGTTTCACAATTTAAGGAAGTGTTTAAGTTCTTGCATCTACATCAGCAGTGCTTTAACATTTAACGCATACCATTTCTTTCTAGGTACAAGGTGATGGAGTTATAGTAGCTACGCCTACAGGAAGTACCGCTTACTCTACAGCAGCAGGGGGTTCCATGGTGAGTCTGTTATTTTCAGATAAAGACCTGTTGATTTGTAGGTTTTAATGCCTAAAACATTATTTGACTTCGATGTGAATATTTACCATAAACAAATATTTTTCTGCAATTATTGTACTCCAGATAGAAATGCAAGTTTTGAGAAAACTGTTAATGTTACATTATACTGTTTTCATATGCATAAAAGAAATGTTAGTTTCATGCACTAGAAGTTATGTTGATAAGTCAAGCGGTCATAGTTATTTTAACTTGATTATGTATATCAAGATAATCTCGTGAACAATGAAATACTGGTTCATACTTTTAGCATTGTTCAGGTCTTGTTTGCAAAACTTCACATTTCATAGTTGTAACATGAAAAGAGACTGAAGTTTCATTCATAGTTTCTTCTACGTTATCTGCAATTTGTGGAGCAGAATACCCAATTTTATCTCTCAAAAGCTGGAAAGTACACTCTAAAGAATAAGGGAAAGTTTGTCCCTTTTCATGATTCTAGCATTTATTTCTCTGCCTATTTTTTTCCTATGTCTTTTCACATCAGATCATATTTTTCCTCCTTATTTTCCTCCTAAATTTTCTCTTAACATTCCTATCTAACATTTCTTTGATACATCGTAGATTCCTTTTGTGCCAATTTAAGAATCCCCTTAGTGTTGTTGTTTCTTCTGGGAACAGTGAATTTTTTGCATCTCAGATCACAAATAACTCTGTTATCTTAGATTTCTGTGTATTTTTATTTATTCAGATTTTAACGGGGAAAGCTATGATACCTTCTTTAAAAAAAATAAAAAGAAAAAGAGATGACTGTGATATGTGCTTCTAGTTCTTGAAACTTTGTGATGTTAGCTTTTTCAAATTAGCTCTCTGTTGAAAATTTTATTTCCTCACCGATTATTAAGTGAATAAATCAGTGGGCTGTACTTATTTAATCTAATGAAGGCAATACATGGTGGATGACATTTACTATTATAGCTTGGAAACTCCGTTTTGCCTTTGAAATTCCAATTAGTTAATCATTATAGTCTGGAGAAGATGCTGTACAAAGAGAGAAATAAGAGTATTGGCATTAATATCCTTTTGGAGTTTTCTATATAGTAGTGGTGGGTATATATCTTTTCCAGTGATAGCTAGCAGTCATCAGGCAAAATATTTTGTTCAGAAAAATGGTATATGACTTTATTGGAGGCCCTAATAAAAAGTTCGACTGGTGTATGTTTAAAGTTTCGTGATTAATGTTTTCAATGATTATTTCTTTTTTCTTCTGAATATCATAAACCTAATTTGAAAAATGAGATTGTGAGTATTCTGCTGTTTTAACTAGAACCTCCTGAATCAATATTATTTCCAATATCAAGCTTATTATTTATGTGACCCTATTACACGATCTGCATGCAGGTACATCCAAATGTTCCTTGCATGCTATTTACACCAATCTGTCCTCATTCCCTTTCTTTTAGACCAGTCATACTTCCAGATTCTGCAAGGCTTGAATTGAAGGTAAAGTCATTTGCTAATGACGAATTTATGGTTGAAGGTTGCTGTTACTTTGATGCAACATAAATGGGATATGTTTTAGAACAGTTTTCCAAAGAAAAGAAAAGAAAACTCAATCTACAATCACAGAGATTGACAATAACCGTATCACAAGCATAAGGTTCAAATGCACTTAAATCGATGAGGGAATATCCATAGTTTTACTTGCAAGCATTTTGTGAAGTAATGATGAATCATCCATGAATTGTTGAGTGTTTGCATACTCTAATATGGCTAAAAAAGAATAACAAGGTAAGACTTCTAATTGAATAAGAAATAAAATTCCTAAACCAATAATAGTTCAGTAAAAAGCTGAATATGCTTAACAGTAACATAAAAATTGAAATTATATAAATATCTTTTTTTAAAAAATGTAAATCTTTGGATGATCTCTTGTCCGCTAGTTGCATAGGTTCATTCTTCCTTCCAATAATACTTCTTTTTTCATTTAAAAGAACACATTATCTTGTAGTATTGGGATGTCCATCATAGAATATTTTTGTTCTGCATCATTCTCCCATACCTAGTAAAATCTCAACCTCAAGTTTTGAAATGTTGAAATAGCAAGAATATGATCTCTTGTCCCCTAGTTGCGTAGGTTCATTCTTCCTTCCAATAATACTTCTTTTTTCATTTAAAAGAACACATTATCTTGTAGTATTGGGATGTCCATCATAGAATATTTTTGTTCTGCGTCATTCTCCCATACCTAGTAAAATCTCAACCTCAAGTTTTTAAATGTTGAAATAGCAAGAATATGATGCAGAAGTTATTGCAATTTATGTAGATTCCAGATGATGCTCGGAGTAATGCATGGGTTTCATTTGATGGGAAGAGAAGGCAGCAACTCTCTAGAGGACATTCAGTCAGGATATCCATGAGCGAGCACCCACTTCCAACAGTCAACAAGTCTGATCAAACGGGTGATTGGTTCCACAGCTTAATTCGCTGTCTGAACTGGAATGAAAGGCTGGATCAAAAGGCCTTATAATTCCCCGGTGCTGAACAGAAGCTCAAAACACTTCTGGCCCCGGGATGGATTCAGGTCTGTGTAAATTTACTGTACATAGTCTAAACTAAAATGTTACAGGAAAATGAAAAGTTGCAAGAGCAGATATTTTTACGACAACACGAGTGCTCAATTCCCAAGTAAGGTAGGGTTGGCCATTTTTTCACACTTGTTTTTGTTGCTACTGAAGTCCAAAAATGAAAAAACTGAAACTGTATATTGCAATATACCATAGAGAATAAAAATCTAACTTGACATCTTCCTTGATCTGGAATATATAGTTGGTTCTTTGTTGGTTACTTGTTTCCATAAGTTTACTTAAAGATCCTTCTCAAGGAATCTGAATTTTGTTCATTGTGACTGCTAAAATATATAGAGCCACCTGAGTTAGAAATGTTAAAAGATTTAACGGAGTCATGGTAGCTCTGAAACACTAGAGTAGCACCTGAGTTGGAAATAAGAATTTTTTCTTTAGCAACAGAAATGAGAATGTCATTTTCTTTTTGTACTAAAATATAGTTAAGTCAATGTAAGTAATCAGCATGGGAATTGAAAATTTTATGTTACAAGTAACCTGTGCCTGCTTGTTTACATTTTCATTAAGAATTACGAAAGGGAAAAAAGGCAGAGATGCTCAGCGGTCACTGAACTGTAGGCTTCCAAGCTGTCCATCTCTCTTCCTAAGTGAAAAAACTGAAGATTGCTGCTGAAGATTGGCAAGAAGCCTGAGAAAAGAGTTGGTGCTATTACTGGGAAATTTAATTGTGTACTAGTTGAAAAATATTTTTTAATAAGATTTTCTTCAAGAAAATAATTAAGATATACATATTAAGCATATGATCAGCACTAGAAAACAAGAAAGACACAAGTACACAACTCAAATCTAACGCACAAACGCTAATAATATACCCACTTGAGTTTCCTGCCCTTGCCCTTTAGGCAATACTTGTGAATGAGACACCATAAACCCCAAATACAAAACAAAAAATACACCAAAAATAAGAAAAAAGAAACAACAAAGAACCAAAGAAATTAAACAGTTTGATCTTCTTATGAATATGAAAATTTGCCCCATGTAGTTAGTTTGATTATTACGTAGCCCTAACAGATCGGAACCTGGGCTCTTTAGGAAGGAACTTCTGCTCAGCATAAACATCCATGTAATCTCCAAACACAAACTTAGGGTATGTTTTTTCCACCTCTTGGCCAGCTTTTTCCACCAGTTGCGGTGCAGGAGCTATAGTGGCCTCAAGAGATGGATTGTAGAAGGAGGCAATGGATCGTCTATTCCCATCTGGTTTTGCCAGAACCCGGTGCCAAACACTCTTGTACTGTCCATTGCTGAGCACCTCAATCTGATCTCCAGTGTTGATGACAATGGTGTTTGGCAATGGTTGAACATCAATCCACTGACCGTCTTTCAGGATTTGCAAACCACCCACCTTGTCATCTTGAAAGAGTAAGATCACACCACCGGCATCTGTGTGGGCTCGGAGACCATTCACCATCTCTGGGTGAGAACATGGTGGGTAATGGCTCACTTTGGTTCCAAAAAAAGCAGTATCCTTGTCTTCTCCACTATTGAATGCCCTCTTGATATAACCCTTTGGTAGACCCAAGTTTTCATCCATCACTTCCATTACTTTCACCGCCAGTTTCTTCAATTCTCTCCGGTATTCAGCCATGGTTTCCCTATGTTATAAAGACAGAGGTGAGACCGTATCATATATACTAAGCCTGTGTTTGTTAGATCAATAATTACTGCATATAAATACTAGTAAAATGTATGTATATTATACTTCGTACTTGAATCCAGGTGTTTTTTCAGGCCACTCGTTGTTGTCAGTTAGAAGGAAAACATCTTCCCAGTCTACATTCTCCAAACTCTCCGCACCACTCTTCTTCTCCAACAAATCATTTAGTATGTTGACGGGCTTTGATGCCTTGAATCCTTCTTCTCTTTCCAGCTTGTAGCAGTCTGAGCATACTTTCCTCACCCTCTCCAGCAGTTCCTCTGGGATCCCATGGTTCACCAACTGCACCACATGCACATATGATATCGTTATCTACATATATATATATATATATATATGTTGTTCTCAAGACCCCTAAAAGAAAAAAACTGGAGCACGACATTTCTTGTATGCATATATTATCATAAATGCCCATTTTATATATTTCCTAGGCAACGATTCTTGAACATACCTTTTAAAGAAAAACTTGAACATCCTTCTTTTTTTTTTGGGTACTTGGATGAAATTGGAATCACTTATCATAAAATGAAAGGGAAGAAAAAGGATGATACCTGAAAGAATCCCCATTCCCTGCAAGCACGAGCAATTTCAGCCAATGTGATGGCCCTCTCCTGGCCATTGATCTTAGAGAAATCAATCACAGGAATCGCCATGAATGAAAGAAGTAAAGAAGCAAGAAGAACACAAGTGTATATATGAGGGAGTTGTAAATTGACTGGTACACTAGCGAACGTAAAGACTATAGTTGGGTTGGGATGAGAAGTGTTTTAACTTGAGCTATTTATAATCATACTATTTGCCACCACTACCCTCAAATATGTCAACCCTTTAATTTATTAATTAATTAATGTTAGTCACAGTCACACATTTGTCTTCTTTTTCTCTTTTTAGAAAAGAAGAAGAAGAAGAAGAAGAACTGTGAAGGAAAGGAATGGGACGGCGACCTCTACATCAATTTTACAATTTACCCATGTGAGGGATCATGTCTTTTCAAAATTTCTATTCTTGTTTATTAACTTTAGTCGTATATAATAAAATAATATCATATTATTTTTCTAATACAACATAATAAAATAAAGAAGAATCAAAATATAAACATTAATTATAGACGAAGACTCAGATAACGATTAAAACGAAATTCGTTTATTAATATCATATTATTTTGATTGATTTTTTACAAATAAATAGAATTCTAATTCTAACTTTCATACCCATTTAGCAAATGTATCTTTACAATTATTGGAAGTACACAGTAGCTATATAATTCCTTGTTACATTTGGGTGAAGAAATAGTTTTAATCTGTGCCGACTGGGGTTAATGGTTTTGACTACCTAATCAGCATTTGACTTCTAACACAACACATGGATTAGTCATCGTCAACATATGATTTAAAGTACTAAACACTGATTTGTAGGCTTAGTTTCAGGGTTGAGGTGTAAAGCACAAACAAAGCCATGATCAACTTTTCAGCTCAATTTATTAACCAGTTATATTATTGGATTGTCAACTTCATACTTTTACTTTTTAGTATATTAGAAACTTACCCAAAACCAATCAGTTAACTTCCAGTATATACATACATACATACATACATACATACAAACTAGTAAGGAAATGATCTGTAACCCAAGAGGGTGCGCTAGCTGTACATGCAGTTACATGTATCGGTGTCAGTTGTGATTTGGATTCCAAATGTTGGAATGTTAGGGTACAAATTTGATTATATATTAAACCCTCTGATGTACTTCCGGGTACTTCTCAACAGCTGATACAGCCCGCAGACTCTGCTTGCACAATTGGCATGTTCTTGGAGGTGAATCATGTGGGATGATGCATGTGATTTTCCATGCATTAAGACCATTATTATTGTCTAATTTAATCATTATATGTATATAATTAACGGGCCAGTCTCCTAATCCCTTTCGCATTAGAAAAAAGTTAATTAATTATGTGGGTGAGAAATTATAGATAATCAAAGCTGTTTTCAACTTAATTATTTATAATGTTATTTTGACTTTTAAACTATGAATAAAGTCAAACAGCATATTCAACCTAACTAGAAAAAAAAAAAAATTAGGGTTTTTAATTATCACTTTCGCTCAGAGCAGAGCTGTGATTAGATTAGATTAAATTAAATTAAACAAAGGTCCATCATTTAATTAAATAAAATAGTTGACTTAATTAACTTGGAAACGTGGAGATAGCTTGGATCAACCCATTAAATAAGACAAAAAAAAAAAAAAAAAAAAACGTGCATGTCACTTTTGCAGTACTCATAAAACAATACATGCAGGGTTATATATAGAACATGGGGTTTGGTATATTTGTCAATATATTATATGTAAGGGATGAACGAGCTAATTTTTACACCACATAAATAAATTAAGAAAATAGGATATACAAAATTAGATAGTTTTCTCTCAAAACCAACCGTATACATACATAATATATATATATATATATATATATATATATAATTACATGTATATGTAGATAAGCTGGCAATGGATATTCAATCCTCCCAACACATCAACAAAATACAAATATTGAATGGGTAATTTTTTTCCCCCTAAATGAAGTTAATTGTCATCCTTAATTCGCACTTTAATTAGTTTTAGTAACTACATATATTAAATTAAATCTAATTAGAAATATGATTAATTTTTAATTTTACTAATTAGTTTTTGTTTTGGTTGAGGGTTTCCAATTCATTCCCCCTGGGACACTGTTTTTGGGTAGGGAAGTGAATTGTTGGACAAGTGTAAAAAAAATTGTAGAAGTTACATTAATTTAGTTAATTATAATTTTCTTACTGCTTAATTAATTAATTAATTAATTAATTAATCTTTCTTATATTCTAAGAAAAATTCCAACTTAAAAATCACATGGTGCTGACTAGTGATTGTCTCTCACGAGGCATTCAAGAGGGTTACATATAGAAGTCGTCTAGGGTGTCTGTACATACATTTTTAGGTTGCTTAGTTCTTCATCCCTAATATCTTTGCCTTCTCTTCTTCTAAAATATATTTAATTTAATCATAATCTAATCTTAATAAAAATATTATTAGTTAATATTAACATAGCTTTAAGTCACTTCTTAATTAATGAACGTTAATATTATTATATACACGCACACATTGATTGGCCAGCAAAGTCATTGACGTGGTCGGTCCAGATATTCTTGGAACCAATTTCCTCTTCACTTCATGAAAATATTAATTATGTTCTAATTAAGTAATTGGGTTGATTAATTAATCATACCCATTCACAAAACAATTTTTAATTAATTCATTAATCAAAGAACTGTTTGTTAATGACAAAATCTGCTGACTCACTGCTATATGCACTGAATTGGCATTTTATATAATAATAATAATAATAATAACTAGTTCCCACCATATATAAAATTAATGTAATGTTTAACAAAATCATGCTGGTGATGTGTTAATCCTAATTATTATCACATTTTCATATAATTTTACCCAATTTAATAAATTAAAATAATATAAATTTTAATATAAAGTTTATCGAATAGTTTTAACTGAACAATCAATGACACCGAATGCTTCGTTCGAACACGAAAAAAAAGGGTCAAAGAAACAGATAAATGGGATGGTATCAAGCCGGATCAAAGATCAAAATGGACTTGTTGAAGATTAAACTTCAAGTCAGCAACGAAGGTGGCAAGAAAAGATAGATGACATATATAAGTAGGAAAAGGAGTCTGTAATGGAACGAGTAAGGTCTCTCCATGAGAATCACTTGGTCAGACAAAATAACACCTTAGGATATTCATCTTTTTACACACACACTGTCTTACACAAGTTAAAAGGAATAATACATGTATAAACACATAATCAAAAATAAAAATTAAAAAAAATACCAGATAAAGTCTAAATATTTTGCACCGTAAACCCTTACAAACTGTTTACTTTGGATCTTCAATTTTCAGTAAGTAATACTGAGAATCATTAATACCAAAGGAAGCCAGCATGTCATAGTAGTTTTTGCTTCACCTAAATTGAGTGAGAAAAGCAAGGTGACTGATAAATCTACTGGCTTGACATGAAAATTTATGAGTTGGTAGTTTCTGTAACAATAAATTAAAATTCCCCTAAAAAAACAACTTACTAACTCGTCTTAGGAATAAATAATGGACCATAACTTACAATAGACCTGGTCTGTGAACTAAGTCCAAACACTGAAGACTGATACGATTATGGGTTGTTAGTATGTAATCTTCAAGTGGACTAATCTGTATTTACTATACACATATAAGCATATGCAAGTATAAGACACCCCGAAGCTGTCACATGCTCAAACAAATTACTGGTGCAGAATCTTAACCCGTTAACTGTGGTCAATTATGCTCTCTCCAGTTATTTTGCTCAAAGTTTCTACTACACCATCTCCAGACAGCATTACAGACAGGCACAGCGTCTCTCCTCTCCTTTCAGGTGAAAGCTTCAAATTCATTATACTTGATGATTTGGATATTTTCTCAAGTTCCCATAATAATCATTCTGCCAGCCAGACCAAGAAGTTTTCACCAAATCATGAGACAAAACTCTGAACTTGTGGCGGAAAGAGAGAGGTTTGGGGTTCTCCGATCATAAATTATTTATTACTCTTGCAATTTTGGTGATGAGGACTCCTCGCTATCTGAAGTTTAAGTAAAAGAATTGAGTTTTTTTTTATTATTACTACTTTTTTTTTTTTTAAAAAACTACAGAATGTAATTCAAATGCAAAAACTTCTATTGGTTTGAACATCAGTCTTGTCAATCCTGCTGAACAGTAACCTCAACAGGACCCATATGAAGAAATTTTAAAAAGAAGAAAAGAAATAGGAGTGAACACCCTGGAAGAGTTGTTATATGGAAAAAGATTATTTTACAGAATACAGAACAACAGTAATATAGAAGTCGAGAAATGCTAACAAAAATGAGAAGAAACACATAACAGAACTGAAGCATACCTTGGCGGATTGACCAATCAACTTCTATGATACAAATAGTTCTTGGGCCTCCATAGGGGATGACCAATAATGCAAGAGTGATTCCACAGTTAGCCTTCTCGTTGCACTAAGCATTGATATGAAAAATCGGCAACCATCAATTTTATATTCTTCCAGGGGGTTCCTGTGTCCAAAACTTCTAACATTTACCTGCCAAAGGTTTAATATGAGCATGAACCAACTTAAAAGCCAAAATGTTCACAATCAAAAGATCATGTAAGATACCGCAGAACTAAGCATGTTCATGTTTATGAGATGATCCCTCCAGAAACAATCTAGAGTCTTCAAAAGTACTGCTCTCTGTATACCAACAATAAAATTAGAAGAGGAATAGACAGATTAGAAGCCTTAAAAATGACTTTAAGCAGAAACCAGAAATTCCTGAAATGTTAAAGATATATTACAGTCTGCAGCTCCCAAAATGCAATGCAACCAATGCCCAAATGCTTCATAGTTTGTTACAAGATACTGATCTCAAATAAAAGAAATTGCCTAGCTCAAACCAAATAAGGATGAAAACTCGGTATTTGCCAAAGTCAAGTACTCACTTCTCCATCCAAGTCTTGATTAAACCCATTATTTTTCTTCACAAAAAGATCAATTTGAAAAGATCTAACTGCTAATTGTTTTAATGAAAAAAATTGGTGCTTGAATTTAGTGGTACGGTACATATTTTTTATTTCAAAAAAAAATGTTTTGATAAAAAAAAAATACAATAAAATGTTTTAAGTATTAGGAAAGGCCAGGAAGGTATGGAGTAACAACTCCCCGCACTGAGCATGAGCTAAGGCAAGTATTGCCCAACCTGATACCCAGTTATAGCACAAGAGCTCCCCCCAGTTTTGGTGAGGTAAGCCAGGTCCTGACATGGCAGGGAAAATTTACATTTATATGTTAAGATCTGAAAATATAGTGGAGGCATTGTTCCACCCGAAATGGGTACAAATATGAATTAACAGCATTAGTCTTGCCATCATGCGGTGATATTCCAAGAACCAATATTTCCCCGAATAAGAATGAAGCATAGAAAGAAAGGATGCTACCTCAATTTCTTTTATATATGTATCATCAAAGCCAG